TACGCGTTTCATGCCCAAAACTTCGGAAAAAATTGCATGACACGAGCCAACAGAGATGCCGACGTCTTCAGCCACTTCTCTGATAGTGATTCGACGATTTTATAACGCCATTTGTTTCACTTTTTCAACACTTTCATCAGTTATTGAAATGCTGAGGCGTCTAGAGCAAGGTTCGTCATCAGTGTCTTCTCGGCCATCTTGAAAGAGCATATACAATTTGTAAACATTTTTTTGACTTAAAGTAGACTCACCGTATACAACTGTCAATATTTCAAGTGTTTTGGAGCACTTAATTCCATTTTTTACATAAAATTTGATGCAAACTCTCTGATCCATTGTTTTCGACAGCGGAAAATCGCTGAGCACAAAAAACACGTCTAACATTTCTGTCTCTCAAAAAAAAAGTAAACATACAAACTGGCTGAAACTGTGAGCATATGTGAGGGGCATGTATACCAACATAATAAAAAATATCCTTGATCGAATCTACGTAACCTTCCCAGTTGAAAAATTCACCTTACTTTTTGAACACACCTCGTATATAGAAAGTATAAAAATGAGAATGAACACTGAAAAAGCGAAAATAATAATCTTTTAAAAAAAATCAAGGATGTAAAAAAAGAAGATAGGATTGGAAAATAGAGAAAATATAGAAGTAAGCGAAATAAAATACCTAAGATACATATAACAGAAAAACGGAGAAGCCGAAAAACACATGAATGAAAGGAGAAGAAAGGTAGTAATAGCAATGAAAAATACATGGATTATTAGTGAAAGAATTTTCAAGCATAATTTTAATCAGAGAATAAGAATGTTCACAACACTGGTAGAAAGTATAGCATTATTTGGAATAGAGGTATGGGGGTGGAAAAAAGATGAAAGATTTGATGGCATAGCAAGAAAATATATTAAGTGGATACTAAGATTAGACAGAACAACACCAAATTATACAGGGTATACTATTTTAACTTTCACAGCTGGATATCTCGGAAACAAGCCCGGAAAGATAAAAAATGATTCATATGAAAGTTATTCAGAATCGAGGTGGCCATGTGTTGATAAACTTGGATTTGACCTTGAACGCGACCCGTCGAGGTCATTTCAAGGTAAATGTTGTTTTTGAATAATAAACCCTATTTTTGACCACGGATTCGAATTCCTTGAGAAATTTTACATTCAGAACCGTGTTTGATGCTGTTATCGGTAGGTGGTATTTACAGCGAAACCGGGACATATTAGCACGCTCGGAAAAATTGAGAAATTGGAAAGTAGAAGATGAGATACTGTATCGGTAGGCGCGAATTCCTCTTCCAGATCTGTTGATAATTTGCCAAGAATTTCATCGATTTGATAGTCCCAGACAAAATAAGAGAACGCGTGTTGGGCGGTGCGGACCGTGAACTTTCGTCGGAACACCTCGGCACTGAGAAGATGCATGGGAGAATGACGCGTGAGTATTATTGGTCGGGAATGTGATATGATATGAGGAAGTCTTGTCGAATTATCACATAGAAAGGATGGATTTAAATATCTGGTCATATTTCAAAACTGCTCTACAAATTGGGTAGGATTGAAGCCTGTCGCCAGGTTCAAGGGTAAGCTCTAGAAGAGCTCACTTTATTCTGGTGGAAAATTCCAGAGTTTACAATAATAGATAGTGGGATAAATTATATGGAAAAAATTTTCAAATGGACACTGGATGTCTATAATAATAAACATGATTTCACGTCACTATTAACAACCGCCTACTTTTTTCAACTTTTCGATTTGCACGCCATAAACAGTTATTACAGTATTCGTCGATAACATTATATATTTTATAAAATAAAGATTTCTTATTAATAATGTAAATACTTAAGTTATTCAATTGTTGGAACCAAGAGCTAAATTAAATAAACAACAATTAAATACTGTGAAACATATACGAATATCACGATTATAAACTATATAACTTATCAAAACATACGCATTTTCTAGCATATTTCTTCGGAAAGCCTCAGTTGACTTCGACCTGTCAGTCGCGCGACAGATTATATGTGTCTATACGTCATGCGCTCGTGAAAAAATTGCCATGGCTCATAAATAATAACAGATAATAAATTGAAATTGTCAACAATTTTGGTATAATTATAAACTATAAATTTAAATTTTCCATTCAAGAGTCTAAACCCGTATGTTCTGATAGGTACAATATTCATGAATTCGAAAAACTTTAAAATGCAATATCTCAAAAGAAAAATAAGCTATTCGAATAACTCAACGGCATTTGAAAGGGCTGGGCTACTTGTTTAAGATGTCGTTTGTTGTTTTTTTGTGTATAGATAATATCGTGATGCTACATAACCTTAAATATAGGCAAAAATCATCATTTTCATACTTTTAGGTTAGGATTCTCAAAATCCTGACGTGTTGGAGCAAATCTGAGACCGGATTCGGTTTCAGCGCCAAAAATTCTTTGAGAAACCATATACGATTTGCTTGTGCAAAAAATTAAGGTATTTTTGTAGGACTGTGTAATGTATACCGAGTTAGTTTTGAAACGAATATATTAGATTTTACTGACAATTTGATTTTAGTAACTCTATGCAGCACAATTATTTTTGAGTGGATGTTTTTTTATATATTTTCCAATTAAAATACGTTTTTAAACCACAGATTTTAATAAATCTTTCATATTATTAATCTCGTTTACACAAATTACTTTGCTATTTACATTTAACAATTTAAAAGTTTTCCCAAAACAATCACACATTTTAATTCGTTAGAACTTGAATTTGCCATTGAACTTTTCTATTTGTAACACTTATAAAATGTTGAAATTTAATTATAATATAGTTCGAATGTACAAAATTAATGTAAATATTTGTTTCATAATTTACATTTGATAACCATAAATTTGATAAAATATTTAGATAAATTTGTTCGTTTCTTTGAAATTCTGAATTAATGATTGTATTAATAATTCAATTATATACTAACAAACAAATAAATTTCATAGTTATAAATTATTGAACTTAAATAATTAGAACTTTTTCATGATTTATTGTTATTTCCACTTAAGTTCAAGGCTTATTTACTTCACAATCAATAGTAAACTATTTGAGTAAAGTTCTTTTACTGAGTTGTTGATAATTTTTATGTGAAAAAAAATTATCAATAATTCAAATTCTCATTTTCTATAGGGCATTTCGTTATATGATTTTATTTTAATCGGAATTTCATATCAATAGTAATTTATTATTGCAATTGCTAATAATATTAGCCACAAATACATTTTAAAGTACGCATTTGAATCATTTGTAAATTTTAAAAGAGAGTTTTGAAAGACGCTAGGAAATTTACATAGATTTATTTCTGCTCGTGTTTATTATCTAACCACTATTGTTTGCGATCTAGTCACTCTTGCATATAACGTCATGTTTTGTATATTTACATATTAGTGAATTATTTCTTGACCGTTACTGGATGCAAATCGAAGCCGCAAAAAATAATAATAGAGTATGACTTGTGTCGTATAACTTCTGGGTCGTATTTTGTATTATGTTTTTCTGATTGCTGTGTACTTTATTATGACTAATAACTTGATTATATTGTTTATTTTATCTAAAAATATTTACAGTGAATTTTTTGTTGACTTAAGCAATCGATAATGTAATCTTGAAAAATTCTTTTTTTCTATTAGACCCAATGTGGCTGGAAGACAAACCAGCAAAACGTTTTCAAAATCAAATTGAGTTGAGATTTATTTTGAGACGGAGAATCGTGGCATGGTCGTCATTTTTGCGGTCGGGCTCTCACCTGCGTCCGCGCGCCGCGCCAGGATGCGAGTATGTGCGTTGAGAGCACACATTCATACCAGCCTTTTTCTTTGTCAAGATGCGGTGATAGGGTGAGCGGCGAAGGAGGGTGCAGATGGCAGATAGAGAAGAGCGAGGAGAGAGGGAGAAGAGTGAGGAGAGAGAGAGAGACAGAAGAGAAAAGAGAGAGGAGAGTGAAGAACAAGAGAGAAGTTGCACGCGTACCTTCACGCCGATTTTAGCCAGTACGGGCCGTTATGCGTGACATATTTTCAACCGATTTTTGTTCGTTAAAAGTTTTCCCGTGCTCTCATCGACGTTTTGTGTTTTCGTGGATATGCGCCTGGTGAGCGGGAGTTATTTAGTGAATATTAGCTGGGTCGCGCCCAGCCATGTACTTTGGAAAAACCAACACCAGTGCATGTATGGTTCCGTCAAGGTGAAAGGGTATGTGCGCGTGAGCGGCCGTTGCCAAGCGGAGACTTTGTGTAGTGCGAACCGAGCATCTGACTAAAAGTGCGATAGGAAGCAAGGGAGGATAAAGGCCGTTGACCATTTTTCTTTGTTACGGACGTATATCTAGATTGTATTGCAGAGCGCGGAAGGAGTAGGAAAGGAAGATCGGATGGCAGTCCTATCACCGATTCATTCTTCATTGCGAGCTCGGAATACTTGTCTAGCGTAGTCGAACCGGCGATATTGTTATTGTTATATTTTGTTGTTTATTTATTTGATTGATGTGTTTTCTTTGTTAAGTTATTATTATTGATGAAATTTGTTAATTCTTCACTCGGGTTTCGTTATTTCGTATAATCACTCCTCATTCCGAGAATTTACCAACGCGCCTTTCGATCCGTTTTAGCTCAGTGGATTATTTAATCATGAGAACGTTCACAATTTCCAAATCTGCTCCATAAAATAATTTATACCCGCGAGCTACCCGACAAGGGGACAGTCACTTGATTATTCGGTCATAGTTTATAGTAATGGGAGTCACTCTCGTATCTCTTTGTTTTATAATTTCGTAAAATATAATATACGACCGTTACAGATAATTAGGTAAAAAGCATTAATTCTTTCCAAGTACATGTTATTTCAATTACATTTTATAGATATTTCATAGTTTATATTCATTTGGAATTGTTGGTTCTACAATTTTTATTTTTTTAACATCAAATAAACAATATATTATTTTTATTGCAGGACAATTTTCCAATTAGACTGGGACTAAGTAAATCGGATGCATTATATACAAAAAAAGCTACTCTCTTATCTAAAATGGGAATACCAGTGAATGGCGAATATATTTTACATCCGGGTTCGAATCCATTATCTGACTTATTAATAAAATATCTAAAAATTTTTTGCATGGATCAGAATGAGATTGACCATTACCTCAGTGATGAATCATTATCTGGTTTAACAGATATTGAATTTATTTCTGAGAAAAAAATCGACAAAAGAATACTTGACTTTTTAATCACTAGGTTAAAACTACTAGCAATGAAATATGTAATAAAAACGGTAAGTTATTGTTATATCATTATAACTAGATAATATGATAATAAATCCTTTAAATTATGATATAAGACATTAAATATAGTATGTTGCAATTATAATATTATTTCGTAAAAATGAGTTAATAATTGTACGTAAATCTTTACTGAATTTGCCCTTACTTTTTGAATACAAGATTTTTCGTACTAGGCTTTTGACTCCAATACCAGTCTAATATCTTATAAATAAATTACAAAGTAATATCCAAAGAAGATTTGGAAGTTTGACGAAGATTTGGAAACAATTTTTCGTAAAAAAGAAACATGTACATATTGTTAAGATTTTTCTAAAAGATTGCTTTTATGAGCGATTATCCAATTGTAACGGTGAGTTAAATAAATAAATTTTTTAATCTAGTTAGAGATTGTTTGACCTTCAGTGCAAAGCTAACCGTAGCTTTGATTTGCTTTTACTATTGTGGTTACTAGTCAGCATACGTTTTGTGGACCTGAAGATAACCGCGAAAGTACAAATCAAAGTGAATTGGTTCTATACTTTAAGCGGGGATAAGTAGGCAAACAATTAGGTAAATACAAAGCGTAACTTGATGTGAGATAAATAAAAAGGTAGATTTTATTATACGCTTCGGCCATAATAATATACGATGTATCCAGGCTAAGAGATTTAAATGCACACAAACTCAAATCAAGTGTTAACAAGCCGGTACGCTTATGGAATATGACTAGTGAAAGAGAGAAAGAGAGAGATTCAGACAGACAGAGAGAGAGAGAGAGACAGTGAGAGAGAAATGAACGCGAGCTAATGTAAGATACAACGCATGCAAATATAAAGAGAACGCTCGCGAAAACAATAAATTTCTTAGGCATCATTGCTACAGATAACGATGCGTGCATTCTGCATTAGCCACTAAAGTAACCTTGACTAAAAGTTTATTGTTTCATTCTTAATACTTAGTTTTAATTTTTATGTAATTTTAATTTTTATAATAATGGTCAAAATTAATGAAACTTTATTTTATAAAAAATAGATATAACTTAGCTTTTGTTCATTTATAACTTTAATATAGGTTGAGTAATATTTTTTATAGGTAAGACTAGAGTACCACACACATAGGTAGTTTGAATAATTCAAGATAAACAAAGAGAAAGATTTCTCAACCCCTTTGAGCAACGTGATTAGCATTCCACTTTTCCATCTTCTGGGGAACACTCCGCATTTTAAGCAGGCGTTGAAAAGTCGCGTCAGTTCTTGGTGTAATGGTTTTGCATTAACAAGCATTTCTGACTCTATTCTATCTTTGCCTTGTGATTTCCCTGCCTTGTTCTTTTTAAGGGTCATTTCAACTTCCCTTGTTAGGAAAGGCATTGTATCGCCGGTTATTGGAACCTCCCGCATATATCTGCGAATCTCCGCGTGTGCTTCATTTTCGCAGTTTGGGTCGTCATCAGGCATTAGTCCTTCTAGTAGAGCTATGCTTGTTTCTTTCCAGTCTTTTGTTACTAAACCATTACGGTTAACCGTGCAGATCCCTTTGAGATTTTGACTTTATTGGATGCTCGTTTGTACGAATACGCCCAAGTATTCTTTTTGCTTTCAATAGTGCAGAAATCTCGCAAGCTTTTGCTTTTGGCTCTTTTAATAGCCGTTGCATATTCAGAATTCATCTGACATAATTCTTCAAGTGATCTCTGGAGGGCTTTCCTTTGCTTTCTATTCGGTCCTTCCTTGTCCTTCAGAGCGACGATTTTGCGTTGTCTTTGTATCGCTCGCTTCTTACTTCGCAAGTCAGGATTCCACCGAGGTTCAGAGCGCGTTCTTCTCATTTTTGATGGGATAGAGTCCTTTGATGCTCTTATTAAAACCTCTTCAAGTTTTGAAACGTATGTTTCGATGTCTTCGGAGGTTTCTAAAGGGAGCTCACATAGGTTCTCTTTCTCGAATTTGCAAAGTCTTCCAAATTTCTCCCAATCAGCTTTTCTCATATTGAACCTTGGTTCTATTGTTTGTTCTACACTTCGTATGAGTCTAACTGATTGTGAGGCAAAATCCAGTTCGATCACTATGGGCCTGTGGTCACTGGTGATCCATTCTTTCACCACCCAGCTAGTCAAGAGGTTTGATAGATTTTATGTATGCAAAGTTACATCGATATCCGTCTCTCCCCTCGTACTGCGGCACGTTGGAAGCTGACCCTTCCTGTTGGCCACTATTAGCCCATATAGGTCTATGAATTCTTTAATGACTTCTCCATTCTTATCCTGTGTATTAGACCAGATCTTTGACTTGGCGTTTGCATCCATTGCAACTAAGACTCTTTTGCCTTTCAATTGCTTCAGAATCTCAGCTAGTTTGTCAAGATAGGTCTTCCTACTGTGGCTGAACTGGCAATAGATGCTTATGAAATAAATTTCACCAAATGCTCTGACTACCTGTGCACAGACACAGTGGGAGTCACATAAATTAGAAATCTTGGCAGCTGTGACCTTGTGCGGGTTATAGAGTATCACGGCTTGAATCATTTCGCCTTTTTCGGCTCCGTGAATGACCGTGATACTGCCCATACCTGAAATCGCGTTATTCCAGTGGTACGGTTCCTGCACTAGTACTAACTGTATGTCAAGATTTCTGTCTGTCATGATCTCTCCGAGCTCATCGTTGGCTACTTGCCTTTTGTTGAGGTTCAATTGTATGATCCTCAGTTTCTGGCCCAGTTCGGGGTTTTGTTGTGCGTTCGAATTAAACCTCTTAACTGGTGGGCAATCGTCATTGATTTCGTCTGCATTGGTTGGTTGCGATGGAAACTGAGTTGACACCGGAGTGTTAGAGCAATGCTCTGATTTCTCAACGGTCGCCTCCTGCTTACGTTTCCTCGCCTTTCTATACCTAGAGTGGTTGACCATTTCGCTTTCGAGGTACAACGTAATGTCTAGTTATATTTGATCTCCTTGGAATCGCTCGTAGCGTTTCTGGAGTAGGGCGTTCGACTATTATTTTTAGCGTGTTGACGTATGCGTTCAAAATAAGCGAATAGTGTGCGAGCGTGCGAGCAGTGGTTGAGTGAGTTTGTGCGAGTTGACTTGAGCTTAGTTACCTTTTCGTGTTTCTCCATGGTTTTCCATGGCTCTATTAATTACATTGATTTAGCTAGCTATTTTCCTAGCTTTTACTAACTTTTTGTTAGTTGAATTAATTGATTTCATTTTATTTGATTTTTGATTTTGATTTGATTTTGATATTGATTTATGATTTTTATTTTTATTTTTAATTTGATTAATTTGATTATTTATTCCTACTTATTTCTAAATTTCTATCTTAATTTTAATTAGTAACTATTATTACTACTGCTCATATTACTATTAATTATTTAAAACTAATTTGAATTGTAACATACGAGGTGTGTTGAAAAAGTAAGGTGACTTTGTATTTTTAAGAAAGAATATTTATTTATTTATTAATATTTATGTTGTTCCCTTCAAAGTAATCCCCCTCAGATACAATACACTTATGCCAACGGTTTTCCAATCCTCAAAGCACTTCTCATAAGCACTTTTCGGTATAGCCTTGAGCTCTTCCAGCGATGCAGTCTTTATCTCTTCAATCGTTGAAAATCCTTTCATAGGTCTCTTTAGTTTTGGGAATAAGAAAAAGTCACATGGGGCCAAATCCGGTGAATATGGTGGCTGAGGCATGATTGTGGTGTTGTTTTTGGCCAAAAAATCTCTCACAAGCAAAGATAAGTGAGCAGGGGCATTATCGTGATGCAAAAGCCATGAATTGTTTTTCCACAATTCTGTGCGTTTTCTTCGTATTGCTTCTCGCAAACGGCGCATAACTTCAAGATAATACTATTTATTGACCGTACGTCCATATGGTAAGAACTCCTGATGCACCACGCCATGGTAATCGAAGAAAACAGTGAGCAAAACTTTGACATTTGATCGAACTTGGCGTGCTTTTTTCGGTCTTGGCTCATCTGGGCTCTTCCATTGGGACGATTGGACTTTGGTTTCGATATCATAACCATATACCCACGATTCGTCACCAGTTATGACCCTTTTGAGTAAATCTGGGTCGTCGTTGACGTCATTCAACAGTTCTTGAGCGATGCTCATGCGACGGTCCTTTTGTTCAAAATTAAGCAGTTTCAGAACAAATTTTGTTGCTACGCGTTTCATGCCCAAAACTTCGGAAAAAATTGCATGGCACGAGCCAAGCGATATACCAACATCCTCAGCCACTTCTCTGATAGTAATTCGACGATATTCCAGAACAATTTTCTTCACTGCTTGAACGTTTTCATTAGTTGTTGGCGTGCTTCGGCGTCCAGAGCGAGGCTCATCATTGGCATCTTCCCGGCCATCTTGGAAGAGTTTATACCACTTGTAAACATTTTTTTTACTTATAACAGTTTCACCGTATGCCACCGTCAACATTTCAAGTGTTTCGGAGCACTTTATTTTATTTTTTACACAAAATTTGATGCAAATCCTTTGATCCATATTTTTCGATAGCAAGAAATCGCCGAGCACGCAAAACACTTATAACCTTTACGCCTCTCACAACCAAACAAAAAATGCTATACACTTGAAACTTGGTACAGATGTTCGGGAAGAGTGTACCAACATAACAAAATGAAAAAATCGATAATCGAAAGTACGTTGCCCGTGAAATTTGAAAAGTCACCTTACTTTTTGAACACACCTCGTATATAGAAAGTATAAAAATGAGAATGAACACTGAAAAAGCGAAAATAATAATCTTTTAAAAAAAATCGAGGATATAAAAAAAGAAGATAGGATTGGAAAATAAAGAAAATATAGAAGTAAGGGAAATAAAATACCTAAGATACATATAACAGAAAAACGGAGAAGCCGAAAAACACATGAATGAAAGGAGAAGAAAGGTAGTAATTACGATGAAAAATACATGGAATATTGGTGAAAGAATTTTCAAGCATAATTTTAATCAGAGAATAAGAATGTTCACAGCACTGGTAGAAAGTATAG